TCATATAAACTTGAACGTATTATTTAAATAAGATAAAATTAATTTAGGTAAAAATATTTGAATCCTAAACAATAAGGACACAACACCATTCAGTTGTTGATGAAGTGATGAATAGACCGGGCTGGAACGGGTTCACCTGTGCAAGAAATAAATTTTTTTTATAAATTTTATTAAGTTTCCGGATTGTGCCTTTAAATAAAGAAACAAAAGTTTTTTAAAAATATTTTGCAGATTGTGCCTTTCATTGAAGGGGCACTGGACCCCTTGTTTTGCATGGGTCCAGTGCCGCTTGGCACTGGGCCCACGCAGGGTACCATTATGAATATATTTATTGGAAAAGACCATGTAAAGGAGGAAATAATAATCCAAGTTTCACCGTTCCATGCCCTTCCATTCCTCATGTATATAAAAATATAAAAATCAAAAAATAAAATTTAAGATTAAAGTTTAAATGAATAAAAATTTCCCATTTATTCCTTGTGTTTTATTTATCATCTAACATTAACATTTAAAATTACTTCCAATAAGGAGTACCTTGATGGAGTTAAATGGGAGTGGAAGTTAAAATCCTAATTTTCTTCGCATTTTCATAATTGTGAAGATCATTTGCTCAATTTTTACACCAGGAATTTCCATTGGAGAATAATATTTCTCTTTGTCTATGTGTAGTTTCTTGAAAATCTTATGCACAAATTTGTGGCGCTGTGATACCTCGTCATAAACTGTTTTAGAAAGAAATCTTTTCTTTGGTTCTGATGTTTTAGGTTCAGTTTTTTGAATCTTCCTTCTTTCTTCTTTCTCATTAAATTTTTTATACTCTAGAATTGTATGAATTACTCTATACTGGTTTCTCAGTTCTTTTTCTGATGAAGAATGAGTTCGTGCAGTTTTGAAATAGCTTAGTCCTGCCATCTTCTTGTATTTTTGGTGGGTATTTGAATTAGGAGGTATTATATTATACTTGTTGTTTTCTTTTCGTAGGACTGTTGTGAAAGGTATGGATGAATGTGGGTCATTATATATTCTAATATTTAAAAATTTCCCATAAATAATCTTGGACTCCATATTGAATTTAAGAGAGAGGGGGTATCCAGAACCAATAATTTTAACAGCTTTTTTAATTTCGTCATCTGACCCTGTTAAGTTTATCGAAACATCATCTTTAAACCTTAAAAAGCGTTTTACTGTTTTTATAAAGATTGTTTCGTGCTAAAACATTGAACATTTTAATTTCATAAATTCTTAGAATAATTTCAGAACCCCTTGCTGCGGAGCAATCTCCCATGGAAAATCCCTTTAGAGTTTTAAAAAAGCCATTTGGCTCTTTAAGATATGAATAGTTCATTATACAGTTAATGAGCAGTCTGATATACTGGAATGATGATTCATGAAATTTAGAGAAAAAACATGCAAGTTTGACGCATTCAGTTAATAGCGTACAGTTGCAATTTGAGTACAAATCACTGAAATATCCTTCAAGCTCAATAGAATTACCCCAATCTCCTGTTGTGGTTTGTTTTATTCTTGAAATACAGGGTGTCCCACGAAACATGACAGTATGCAGGACGACTTGAATGTCGTCTTGATTTTTGATATAATTTGCTGCGTTTATTTGTCAACCTAATTTAATATTGAAAGCACAAAAAACGCAGACCACTTTTTGGAAATGCCAGGGCTAGGAGAATTATGTAATAATTGTTTCAAGAATCATACATGTTAAAGTAGATAGAAGACTAAATGTCACAAATAAATTCAAATACCAAAGACGACTTTCAAGTCGTCTTCCTATTGTCATGTTTTGTGGGATACCCTGTAGCTTCTTGAACCCCTGTGACTGAAGGGGAGATAAACCCAAATTTACGGATAAATTCCTGTTCAGTATGAAACAAAAGATGATACAAATTTTATCTAGTATTTTCTGAATGATTTTGATTGGATCTCGCACGTATAGAACTTTTAATTTCTCTTGGACATTACTAGCATTGATTTTCTCCAGTTTTAAAACTTTCGGTTGTAACCTTAAAACCCCTATTTCGGACACTTTAATTCTTTTCCCATAAAAAATCTGTTTCTTTAATCATGTTTGAAAGTTCATGAGGTAGACCTGTCTTGGCTTCTTGAATAAAATTAAGGATACTTTGTATTATACCATTCTTCCGATATATTTCTTAACCCAAAATGTTTCTGTTCATTAATTTTGGAGTATTGTTCAAATAAATCAGATTTTTTAATACACACATATCCTACATTTTTGTCTGCTTCTATTATAATTTTGTCTTCGTCAATATTGAATGATTGTTCAAATGTTCTCATTGCTGGTAAAAACCTAAATTCTGCGAGTTTCAAGCTTTTTGAAAATTCTGATTTAACCTCTTTGTATAGTTTTAGGAACATCTTTACCATAAAACGTCTGTAAAATGCAAACTCTCTCTTTTTCATGCAATCTATTTTTCTTCTTTTTCTTCTCTTCTCTTTTCCTCTAATGTTCATAGCTTTTCTTTTCTTCTCTTTTTTCTCATCTTTTCTTTTCTTCTCTTCTCTACTCTTCTCTTCTGTTCTCTCTTTTCTTTCCTTTTCTCTTATCGTCTCCTCTTTGTTTTCTCTTTGTTGTCGACATTTAACCGGTTTCGAGCAATGCAGTACAATCCGTTGTTATGATTTTTTTCTGATTTGTTTACATTTCTAGCTTGTAGACCTAATTGAAATGTACTGCGTTTGTACTGTATAATTCAGCATTTGATCATTTGATATTTTGATATTTTTGCTCAAAATTGATCCGAAAGAAATTTTAAACCACAATTTAAACCTTGAATTTTAACTGACCACGATTAATAAAAAAGTTTATACAAATTCTAAACTTTCTGAATCTACTTTTAGTATTTAAAAAATAAGCTTAGATATATCATGACCACCTTAGGTTTATTTCAAAAATCGAAAACTGAACAGACGGCAACTTTACGGTCACAAAAAGATAATTAATTTAGGAAATTTACCAAAGGTTTAAAGTAGAAGTATAAAATAATAAGTATATTGAATGTCACATCTTGAAGTAATATTTTTAGCATTAAATTGTTTTATTTAAAGTCATGATTTTTCTTCGAACATTATAAAATAAAAACCTAAATTTTTTGTTTTTTGGTACAACCCGACAAACAAGACCAACCGAATACGCAAGACTTGACTTCAATGGCGTTCCTTTTCTATTGGAAACTTATCTTTTTAATTATCAATTTTCAACTTTTTCTCAATTTACTTCAAACACAACAATTTTCGCCGATTTTTCTGTGGTGGTTTAAAAAAACGTTAATCTACAATTAAATGTTTATGGATTCATCAAGCCCGTACCCAGGCGGGGGGGGGGGGGGGGGGGGTAAAGTAGTCTGGTGTAAAAGGGGGGTCCAATGATGAATTTGCACCCTCCCTCTCTTTTTTAATTAGTTGCTTGGTATAATCTTCTCTTGAAAAATTGAGTTATTAGCATTTAAAGTTTGTTATCATTCTGTATACAGTATAGTGTATAAACCAAATTAAATCTTCTTTGAAAAAAATTGACCTGGGGTAACATTTTCAGACTGAATTGGCTTGTTTTTCTTTCGCACATGAAGATGTACATGCAATGTAACAAATATGTTGCAGTATGTATCCAAAATTCAGAACTTTAAATTTTGCAGAAACATCACCTCAGTTTCAATATTTTGTTCAGACTATTCAAAATCAGTGAGCTTGAGTAGTAATATCAAAATTATCAACATTCTCTGGATTCCAATTTATTGGAAATATTGAGCTAAAATCTAAATTATGAAAATTTTCCTTGGACCAAGTACAATACAAAACATTAAACTCAGGGAAAATAGAACTTTCACTGTAACATTAAGTATAAGCTTAAATATCTAGGGTTGTTGACAAATTCGAAAATAACATGCATTAAAAAAACTCAAGCTAAAATTACACGTTTTTATACCAAAATTTTCTATGCCCCCTTGCGGCCTGCAGCCATCCCCTCCCTTGCTCCCTACGTTTCACTCGGTGATTCTGGGCCTATGAAGCAACACCCCTCTTTGCACCCCCCCTTGGGAAAATGCTGGTTATGGGCCTGGGTTTCACAGATTTTGAATATTTTTCCTTTTCAATAACTCTTCACTTGATGACCATTATTCATGATTATTTTTTTACTTTTGAAATAAAAACAGTAACAAAGCTTAGACGATGTCAACAGGTTCACCCAGGTAAAGAACCCTTCAATTCAGATTCTAGTATAGATAATGTTGTAATCTTCCAGTCAAGGAAAATACCTTCTTATAATTGTTTCAAGTCTTGTTCATTAAGGGAGGAATTTCTGGCAATTTTTTAGGGAGGAATCTCTTGCATTTTTAGGGAAATCTCTTGCATTTTTGGGAAGGAATCTCTTGCATTTTTAGGGAGGACTCTCTTGCAATTTTGGGAAGGAATCTCTTGCATTTTTAGGGAGGAATCTCTTGCATTTTTAAGGAGGAATCGCTTGCATTTTTTAGGGAAATCTATTGCATTTTTAGGGAGGAATCTCTTGCATTTTTAGGGAGGAATCTCTTGCATTTTTTAGGGAAATCTCTTGCCTTTTTAGGGAGGAATCTCTTGCATTTTTTAGGGAAATCTCTTGCAAGGAATTTCTTGCATTTTTAGGGAGGAATCTCTTACTTTATAGGGAGGAATCTCTTGCATTTTTAGGAAGGAATCTCTTGCATTTTTAGGGAGGAACCTCTTGCATTTTTCGGGAGGAATCTCTTGCATTTTTAGGAAGGAATCTCTTGCATTTTTAGGAGGAATCTCTTGCATTTTTAGGGAGGAACCTCTTACATTTTTTAAGTTATAAGCTTAAATATCTAGTGTTGTTGACAAATTCGAAAATAACATAAATTAAAAAAAACTCAAACTAAAATTACTAAGGCCTATCCAGATCATATAAAATCGTACTTATTTTTAAAATGTAGTTTCAAGAAAACTACCTAGAATTTTTTATTATATCAGATTAATAATTTATTAGTACTAGATATATTATACACATGATGGGGGTTAAAATCATATCATAATTGGGTGGAAAATAAAAACCGAAGACGACATAATACATATCGGAGAATTTTGTTTACTGTCCGACCCTGCTGATCAAATCATCACAGATCTTGGTTAGTTCATCATTATCTCGAGTCTAAACATAGATTAAATATTAAAATATCAAGTTTAAAATAATAATATATTATAAACTATAAATAGTAATCTCTGCTTGTCCGATCAAAACCCATGAACCCCCCTGGACCAATAACAACTGATTACACCCCTCTACTTAGTTTTTTCCTCATTGATATTAACCACATACCACTCTCTCCTTAACTCTATTCTCCATGATATTTGAAACATCCCCTCTCCTTAACTCTATCCTCCTTGATATTTAGCCTCTCTCCCTAGTTTTATTCTCCTTAATATTATGATTCCTACACCCCCTCTCCCAAGCTCCATTATCCTTGATATTATGAAACCTACACCCCCTCTCCTTAGATATATTCTCCTTGGTATAATTAAACCTACACCCCCTCTCCTTAGTTCTATTCTCCTTGGTATAATTACACCTAAACCCTCTCTCCATAGTTCTATTCTCCTTGATATTATGAAACCAACACATCCTCTACTTAGTTCTAATCTCCTTGGTATAATTAAACCTACACCCTCTCTCCCTAGTTCTATGCTCCTTGATATTATGAAACCTACACCCTAGCTCCCTAGTTCTATTCTCCTTGGTATAATTAAACCTAAACCCCCTCTCCTTAGTTCTATTCTCCTTGGTATAATTAAACCTAGACCCTGTATTCCTAATTCTATTCTCCTTGATAATATGAAACCAACACCCTCTCTCCCAAGTTCTATTCTCCTTGATGTTATGAAACCTACACCCTCTCTCCCTAGTTCTATTCTCCTTGATATTATGAAACCAACACCTCCTCTACTTAGTTCTATTCTCCTTGATATTATGAAACCAACACCCCCTCTCCCTAGTTATATTCTCCTTGATATTATGAAACCAACACCTCCTCCAATTAGTTCTATTCTCCTTGATATTATGAAACCAACACCCCCTCTCCTTAGTTCTATTCTCCTTGGTATAATTAAAAGCACACCCCCTCTCCTTAGTTCTATTCTCCTTGGTATTATGAAACTTACACCCTCTCTCCCTCGTTCTATTCTCCTTGATATTATGAAACCTACACCCCCTCTTCCTAGTTCTATTCTCCTTGATATTATTAAACCTACACCCCCTCTCCCTAGTTCTATTCTCCTTGGTATAATTAAACCCACACCCCCTCTCCTTAGTTCTATTCTCCTTGGTATGATTAAACCTACACCTCCTCTCCTTAGTTCTATTCTCCTTGATATTATGAAACCTACACCCCCTCTCCTTAGTTCTATTCTCCTTGGTATAATTAAACCTACACTCCCTCTCCTTAGTTCTATTCTCCTTGATATTATAAAACCAACACTCCCTCTCCTTAGCTCTATTCTCCTTGATATTATGAAATCTACACTCCATCTCCTTAGTTCTATTCTCCTTGATATAAAAACCAACACTCCTTCTCCTTAGTTATATTCTCCTTGATATGAAAACCTACACTGCCTCTCCTTAGTTCTTTTCTCCTTGATATAAAAACCTTTACTCCCTCTCCTTAGCTCTATTCTCCTTGGTATAAAAACCTACACTCCCTATCCTTACCTCTATTCTCCTTGATATAAAAACCTACACTCCCTCTCCTTAGTTCTCTTCTCCTTAATATAAAAACATACACTCCCTCTCCTTAGGTCTATTCTCCTTGGTATAAAAACCTACACTCCCTATTCTTAGCTCTTTTCTCCTTGATATAAAAACCTACATTCCCTCTCCTTAGTTCTATTCTCCTTGATAGAAAAACCTACCGTCTGCTCTAAAGACCTTTCCAGGGAGGCAACCCTCATCTCAGCCTTCCTCAAAAGGGCCTAAACATAAAATATACAATATATCTTTTTCCACCTTACAAATGTAGAACTAGTTTTAACACAATGCCAAGATCCGCCATTTATTAGCTCCCTGGGTCATATAATTCAAGAGAGAAGAAAAATCTCTCCAAAAATATATTTGTTTCACACAAATGGGAATTAATGTTTCACGTTCTTAATTATTTTTACGGAAAAGTATCTCCAAGAGGGGGAAACAAGCAAGTTAAATGAGTACTTTCATTTTTACAAGAATAATGACATTTGAGGAAAAGTTATTTATTTTTAAGCGACAAGAATCAAACAGAAAAATAAAGCTTTACCACAGGTTAAATTGTTTTAACATTTACGAAAACCATTTCTTAAAATATATTCTATGATACAGTAACTGTATATATATATTAGGGGTGTTCATTTTTAGGGTCACTTTTGGTACAGAGATGGAAGGTCGCCAGAAAGTTGCAAAATTTTGCAAGATTAANAATAATAATAATAATAATAATAATAATAATAATAATAATAATAATAATAATAATAATAATAATAATAATAATAATAATAATAATAATAATAATAATAATAATAATAATAATAATAATAATAATAATAATAATAATAATAATAATAATAATAATAATAATAATAATAATAATAATAATAATAATAATAATAATAATAATAATAATAATAATAATAATAATAATAATAATAATAATAATAATAATAATAATAATAATAATAATAATAATAATAATAATAATAATAATAATAATAATAATAATAATAATAATAATAATAATAATAATAATAATAATAATAATAATAATAATAATAATAATAATAATAATAATAATAATAATAATAATAATAATAATAATAATAATAATAATAATAATAATAATAATAATAATAATAATAATAATAATAATAATAATAATAATAATAATAATAATAATAATAATAATAATAATAATAATAATAATAATAATAATAATAATAATAATAATAATAATAATAATAATAATAATAATAATAATAATAATAATAATAATAATAATAATAATAATAATAATAATAATAATAATAATAATAATAATAATAATAATAAAAATAATAATGATAATTACTTGTAGTTTAGTAATCTCTGCAGCCTTACTTCTCTTCACCTCCTCTAGCTTCTGGTTCGCTCTGGAAAAACAAAATATGAAGGGATTGTTCCAATATCTGGGTAAAAGTAGCAGATACCAGTTATTAAAGGGACTGTAAGGGTGATTTCAGAGCGAAATAAATAAAAAAACTTACTCTTCAATCTTAGTTTCAGCATGAGTTTTCAACAGTTCATATCTCTCTTCTGCTCTCTTGTTTCTGAAATAGTAAAATCTAATTATAATCACAATTATTATAAAAGAACAAATTAAAAAAAATCTTAAATTAACTTTTATTCTTTTAATTTTTATGTTATTGTTGTAAACTCCGAGCTTTATTTATCTACAGCAGAATTTCAAACGCAATAATTAACTCTCTTAGTTCATATTTATTAATTCAATAATTGTAATAATTGTATATTTATATTTAGGAGATTAATATTCAGCATTCGGATCCACCTCGGTCTCAAACGACATCAGGAGCTCTACCCTTCTCAGCATCAGCAAGGACATGTGGGTCAACAGTTCCACCTCCATCCTCAGATAGCGTTCCTCCCTAGATATCCTCCTATGCCCCTGAGATGCATCTATAATCCATTGATGCAAGTTCTGCCAGACAACATCTATCTGACCCTCGATCCTTCTCCAGTTACTGATAACTACAGTGACCCGGCCTCTGTCTGGCTGGAGGCCCAGTCTCATCCACAGGAGGTCATTCTCATCTGCATCCTCCGGCCTATCCTCCGGGTCTGGGGGATCTACATTAGGATCCCCCGTCTGGGGGTCAACTCCTCCTGGCTCTCTCCTATTCCGATCATTCCCTCCTTCATCTACAGGTCTCCCAGGCACACCAGCAGCAGGCAGGACCCGAACTACATCCCCATGATCCTCATGGTCACCACCCCCTGGGGGTAGGGTGGTCGTAATCTTCATGATAGCTTTTATTAACCCTTTGTGGTATTGTTAATTACTTAGCTATTAATATACTTATAATCCATCAAGAATTATTTATCTTTTATATAACTTTACTAAGCTATTGGTCTTGCTTAGCGTTACAGAGCTATCTTATCTAGCTTTACGGAGCTATTGACTTTACTGAGCTATTAACTTTATCTAGCGTGCATTGATTATCTCACTTGAGATCAGAGATAAACAATGCCACAAACTCTAATCCGTCGTTATTTATAATAACGCTTTAGCAACTTTTATGGTATTTTAGTTACTTAACTATTGATACAATTATTAACAATCTAAAATCAGTTATNTAAATACGCCTCTGCCCCCCCTACTACAACAAACTAAGCTTACCGCTTACTAAGATCCTCCACTGTCCTCTTCAGCATATCCTCGTTAGCCTTGAATCCTCCGACAACCTCCCTTGTCCTCTCGTACTTCCGGTGAACGTCATTAAACGCTCGCTCAACTGCGCTCAGGTCTTCCAATATCTGAATATTCATTTCCGGTTAGTCCCTTCTTAAATGTCCTGTCCTGTGTTTTGTTCTATGGTCCCGCATTAAGTCCTGAATTATATCATATCCTCAGAGGAGTAATCAGGGGGGCTATGGGGGCTCAACCCCCCACTTAATCAGTCCGATCTATGGTTACCAGGGGGTCTTGTGACTCTATGTGTGATAAACCCTCATTTGTTAATAATAATAAGAATTATATGAGCAGCATTGAAATAAAATTAGTCAAGTTTTATATCTTGCAATGAAAAACGTAAAGAGACTGTAAGCTTTATTTTAACTAACCCTCCATGCAAGAAGGGGAATGGAGGATTTACAACGGTACTCTATAAACCCATGACTGATCATCAACTGCTGAAAACTCTCTTAGTCTCTAAATGGAATTCAAACTGCCGAAAAACTGTATTTCATGAAAATCTCGAATATTTTATATCCAACGCCAGGTTGTTAAAAGTTCCAACGAAAATAATTAATTTGTTCTTAAATGTCAAATATTGATATTTCTTTTAAAAACCAGGTGTGAATCGGACAGTCACTTTTTATATGGAGTGTAACTTTAATTTATGTCTATTTATTCATTAATAAAGTAAAACAATATAAATATGTAATAACTTCAAACAAAGTTAATAAAAATGCGAATATTTTACATTTAATGAATGAAAATGGGTTCGAATTGAAAGACATACTGAGTACATAATAATACACAGGGGCGGACACAGGATTTAAGTGAGGGGGGGGGTGTGTCCGCCCCTGATAATACATCTAAATCAAGACAAATACCTGATCTCTTTCTGTCCTAAGTCTATCCTTTTCTATTTCTAGAACCACGGTATCCCTTTGTTTTTCCTGAAATTGAGAAACAATTTAAATTCCAAGCTTGGCACCATTCAGTTTCGTTTCTCTCTCGACTTAAACATTTCATTTTACGAATTCAACATTTATAACTAAGTTACCAATGCTATTCAAGCTAATTAATCCGTTTTCAAGGTTTTTTGGTTACAAATCCCATCCCATCCCATCCCACTTTTATGGAAATCCTACTTCCACAATACCATTTCGAAATGAGTATACAAAATCTTATTGGATTGAGGCTTTACGCTTTGCAAAGATATAGACTAAACAGATAATTCAACTAAGGATGCCTAACACTCCATTTAACCCACAGACTTAGAAATAGGCGTTTTTGAGCTCCCAACAAAAAAGTACTGAGCTATATTATTAGGATATATTATACCTGGATAAGCTGACTTATGGTTTTCTCAAAATCTCCGATAACGAGGAGCATCTCGTTATTGTTAGAATCCATCTGTGCAATATCGGACATTAATCCCTGAACAGAATATCGTCTTCATCATAGAAATGGAAATGCGGGAAAGAATCTACAGTTATATTTAAATCATGTAAAGATGTGCTTCTTCTATTATAGGTATTTCATATTTCTAAACTAGGGTTCCCAATGAAATTTTGATTTGCGCTGCAAATTTTTTACTTTTTTTTGGCTTTCTTGCAAATTAAATGTTCGCACATCTGCGTGGAATTCGCGAATTTCTACCTGTATCTGCTTCTGGTTCTGTTTTATCTCCTGTTGAAGGTTCATCAGCTCCTTGTCCTTCTCCAACAGTCTTTGCTCGTGGAGCAGACCTAGCTGCGTCAGGTTGGAGGTGGTATCTCCTGACAGAGCTTTCAACTGCGTCAGTGTTGACGCATTGATGTTGTTAAAATGTGTGAGGTCGGGGATATCGTCCGGAAAACATAGAGTTCCATTCTTGTGAGCTAAAACATGTTTCAATTTAGTGCTGTCGTCTTCTGCGTGAATATATAACAAATACGACTATTAACGCTCCACCATCACAATCCATATAATACAACTTATTAATTGAAAAAAATATTGAGGAACTGATTCCTTGTCTCAAATTCTGAGAAAATTATGAGTATAATTGGAGAGCAATCATTTATTAAGAGACATTAAAAATAATAAAATTGAAAAACAATTTCGTTTTTAATGTGATAATATTTTACATCTAGCCAATTTAACAGTAGGTATATGTATAATGAAGAAACTTCAAAAAATGTTTTGACTTGGAATTTAGAACTAAGGAGGAACCATGATACACACATCTGATCAGTCACTTTAGTCATTAGTCTATCACTTTTTCATAACCAAAACCCCATTTGTCGAACGTTAGCCCAATCGGAACTTTTAGTTGGATCTTAAAAAAATATTAACAATTTTGATTTTTAAACTCTTATCGCAAAAATGAGGTCTCCAATACTGAAATTGAAAAAGTTCAAATCTGCGACGCGACCCCTCTTAATATTCAAATTTATAGGACGTTAGGGCACACAGAGACGGCTTTAAATGGGGGTTTCGTCATGAAAAGGTAGTGACGAGTTTTTTGGATTTGCACACCTAGACTTGGTGCAAACACTAGTCGAGGGGATTCCAAAATGCTATATCCTGAACCCTGATCATTTCTATGAAGTAAATTATGTCTAGTGAGGACTGTGCTTTGAGTTCTCACCTGAAAGAATATCAAGATGTGATTCCATGTTCCTAGTACTGGATTCAACAGGTTCCAGGGATGCAAGGGTTCCAGGTTCCTTGGATTTAATGGTTCCAGGTTCCAGCATGGCTATCTCACCTCCTCCTGAGGTTATCACAGACTCATCGTTCAGATCACCCAGCATACAAAACTAAAATATATTTTTTAAGGTTTAATTTTAAAAATTGAAAGTTGTCGTGGTTTTTAATTGGACTATTGAGCATTGAGTACAGCCATAATTTCATACAACCCTCCATTTGCAGAGTGGTATGACCGATTTACAACCTTAGTCACAACAAAATGATATCCTTAATAATTTTCTAGCTGAAAATTGATTATTTTCGATTGTAGTTTTTTTTTGAAGAATTTAGAGAAAAACTACAATGTGTTAATCAGAGCGAGATATAAAGGGTTCCCTAGTAAATCAGACATGCTGAAAATTAAATGGAGGACCACCACTTACATCACCTTAACCCACAACTAAATATTAAATGGAGGACCACCACTTACATCACCTTAACTCACAACTAAATATTAAATGGAGGACCACTTACATCACCTTAACTCACAACTAAATATTAAATTCATCTGATCAGTCACTTCAGTCATTAGTCTATCACCTTTTCATAACCAAAACCCCATTTGTTAAACGTTAGACCAATCGGAACTTTTAGTTGGATCTTAAAAATATTAACAATTTTGATGTTTAAACTCTTTTATCGCAAAAATGAGGTCTCAAATCCTCAAATCGAAAAAATTCAAATCTTAGACCCCTCCTAATGTTCAAATTTATAGGACAAAAAAAGACGGCTTTAAAATGGGGGTTTCGTCATGAAAAGGTAGTGACGAGTTTATTTTTGGATTTGCACACCTAGACTTAGTTAAAACACTAGTCTTGAGGATTCCAAAATGCTATGTCCCGAATCCTGATTATTTCTATGAAGTAAATTATATCTAGTGAGGACTATGCTTTGGGTTCTCACCTGAAAGAATATTAAGATGTGATTCCATGTTCCTAGTACTGGATACAACAGGTTCCAGGGACTCATCGTTCAGATCACCCAGCATACACAACTAAAATATTTTTTTTAAAGGTTTAATTTTAAACATTGAAAGTTTTCGTGGTTTTTAATTGGACTACTGAGCATTGAGTAAAGCCACAATTTCAAATAACCCTCCATTTGCAGAGTGGTATGTCCGATTTACAACCTTAGTCACAACAAAATGATATCCTTAATAATTTTCTAGCTGAAAATTGATTATTTTCGATTGTAGTTTTTTTTTGAAGAATTTAGAGAAAAACTACGAAGTATTAATCAGAGCGAGATATAAAGGGTGCCCTAGTAAATCAGACATGCTGAAAATTAAATGGAGGTCCACTTGTATTACCTTAACTCATAACTAAATATTAAATGAAAGATCAGTTTGACTATTTACGTTACAAAGTATTTACATGTAGATTGTCAATGAAAGACAAAAACGATTGTTTTGATAAATATGTGCATATTTTTTTGTTCAAGGCTAATCTCCCTAAAACCCTGATCTTTTAAAAACAAATAAAAAATGCCAGGTCCCCATTATTAACGCTTTATGTTGTGATTATAAGAAGTCCCAAAAAAATATTTTGCGAAAAAAAGAACATAAAATATGAGAAAATCATTTAAACATTCTGAATATATAAACCATTTATTACCTCTGGTTTCTTAATGCTTCCAGAGGACTCCCCCAAAGTTGGTAGTTCCAGTTCAGTCAAGGTCTAAAATTAAGAACAAATAAATGAAGGTTTTTAAAGCAATGTTTCTTAACAAAATTTGATCTTGTTACTTTGATATTTTTCTTCTTAAGGAATTGGGTATTTGCCACCAACTTTGATTTTCTAATCCATAGATCTTTGTAACCCGGTGCTGTAGACCTTAGATAATTCAAACTATGAATTCGGTCAGATTAATAAATCTTAAGTTTGAAATATCAGAGGTAATTTACGCCATCAGGTTGCAAAGATAAAGGGATTAGAAAATTTGAGTTTGTGGCAAAGATTGAATTCATTTGTATTTTTAATCATTGCTGAGAAATCAGTAAACCGAATCTGATGGATTATGTTGTTAAAATAAAAGTTTCTGATGTGGATAACAGTTCATAGCGCTATTTCATAGAAAAGTTTAGACCTCTCCAAAAATCCATTAATCTTAAATGTTAAATAATTATATATTATATCTACAAAAACATATAGTACAGCCCTTTTTCTGTGTAATCAAATAAAATGAGACAAAAATAAATTGAAATAAATAACATTAAACAATTTGAAATTATTTGAAATAAACTAAAATGGATAGAATAAGACTGAAAATGAACAGAAATGAAAAAAATAAATAAAATAAGATTAAAAAACCTGATTTGGAAATTCTGAATTGATCAACTTTTCTAAATCCAAAGGTTCAGGTACAACATAGGAATCATCTATTTTATATTTGTTTGGTCGAGTAGACACAAGCTCCACTGGTGTGGGAGTACTGGTTCCTGATGGAGAAGGTTCTAGGTTTAAAGGAGTACTAGAGATATGTTCCAGGTTCAAAGGAGTACTGGATTCTTTCGGTTCTGGGTTGGTCTCCAGGTCCAAGACAGAACTGATAACTCTGGGTTCACTGGGTTGTGCTGAAGTAGGTTTCTCTTGGGTTGAAGCCAGCTTGTTGTCCAATGGTTTATCAATCAAATCGTTCTTTACTGAAGATTTGGTTTGGAAGGGATCAAAGTTCGGATCATTCAGAAAATCGTAATTGTAACCTTAACACATTTTTAATAAATTTGTATGAATCTTTGCTCGATTTTCAAGAGATCTTAAATAGATGGTTTCACGCTTATAATACATTCAGTCCTAGGGAATATTTCAAAAGCAACTTGAAGGGACTATAAGACGTAGTTTTAAGTGATTTTCTGTAAAAAAAAAGTGAAGTCCTATTCCCAGCAGTACCTTTCAGAGCTTACTTTGAATATATCACAAAAGGAAGATATCTTCGTTTTTCTATTTTATATTAATTCTCTCAATTTCTTTTTTGGTCTCTGCTGCATAAATCAGTAAGTCACTTTTTTAAACAACCCAATTTAAAAAATGGTAAATTTTTCCGATAGAAAACCGACGATATCACTCTTAATTTTCCTCAAGCTAAGGTTTAAAGGACGAATCGGGCAAAATAATTTTTTAATGGAGAAGTACCGATAATAACTGTATAGAAGACATTTTGAAAATTGCTTCGCCTCAGAATTAAAACAATGTTGAATTTCTAACCTGATATTGCTACCGGTGTGGGATTTGATTTTTCTTTCTCTTCCATCTTCTCTGCTCCAGCAGTTTCGTCTGGAGTAGGAAGGTTTATTGGGTTCTCATCTACTACTGATCCTAACCTAGACTCAGGGTCAGGTAGGTCAGCTGCAAGGTTGAGCTCTACTCTTGGAATATCTGGAGTTGGTTTTAGATCCACTCCTGGAGTAACCGGAGATGGTTTTAGATCTACTTCTAGAGTATCTGGAGAAGGTTTAGAAACTACTTCTGGAGTATCCAGGTTTTCAACTCCATCCTGGATTTGATTCTCGTTCATTTCAAACTCCACTGTGGATTCACGTTTGATTAAACTTTCCTTCAATTTGCTTATCGGAGATTTGGTAAGTTTAGCAGGGGACGATTCAGTAAGGTCGTTTTTATTTATATCGTCCACAACATTCGTCTTGGTGACAAATGGATTGAAGTTAGGATCGTCCATGTTGTCTAAGAAATCAAGGTTGTATCCTTTAGCAGGGGCTGGGATGGGATTCTCGAAAGATTCTGTGGGTTCTGCTGCTGGTTTTGGGACAGGTTTCTTCTTCTTCTTTAACCAGGGTTTAGGGACTTCTTTCTTCTTTTCAGCAGGTTTAGCAATTTCTTCAGACTTGTCAGACTCGGGAGTCAGAGAATTATTTGATTTTAAATCTACGTTGGTGACATCAATCTCATTAGACTCTTTGGGTTCTGTTGTAACGTCGAATGAGCCCCTGACTGCAGTTTTAGTTTCGAACGGATTAAAGTTAGGATCATCAAGCTGACTTAGAAAATCAAGGTTATATCCTTTAGAGGGAGGAGGAGGAGAACTTGAACTTTCTCCATCCTTAGTCGGTTCATCGACTCCGGAGGTTTCAGGGGCTGGAGCAGGTTTTGCGGATTTCTTTAAAAGTGGTTTTCGCGGGACTAATTTCTTCTTTGCCACCGGATTTTTTGCAGGGGGTTTTGGAGCAGAAGAGCTTGGTTCTCCTGCAAGGGAATCTGAGGGGGTTGGTTCTCCAGGAACCGGAACTGAGGTTCCAAAGTTTTCCAGGATTGCGGTTTTGGTCTGAAACGGATTAAAGTTGGGATCATCCAAATTGTCCAGGAAATCCAGATTGTAGCCTTTAGCAGGGGGAACAGGGATATCATCTTCCTACAAGAATAAACTGTTAAAGCTTTTTAATAATAATTCGATTAAAGGGACTGTAAGCGTAATTTCAAGTGACCTTTCATGCAAAGATGACAATGACCTATTTAGAATGCTTTGTCTGATCAAGTATGAATTAGATATCAATGTTTTCGGTTTCTTTAAACTTTTTATTCTCATTTGGGGTTTCTCTGCGAAAGTGAAGGCATTTCTTGCTTATAAGAAGCAATGGAGAACCTCAAAGAAATAAAAACGACGGTATCTTCCACATATTTTATAAGATTAAGGTTTCAAGAGTACCTTTGTAAATCGGACATTGCCATCTTTGCATGGCATTGGCCAATTTAAATTACGATTACAGTCCTTTTGAATATAGAAATAGAAAAGAAATGAATGAGGGAAAGCCGAACAAGCTAATATCCAGTTAGAGTTGAGTACACTTAACACAAATGACGGGAGATATTGTTTTTTTTTCTCTCTCTCTCTTGATACGACTTGTGGATGAATGCAGTAGAAACAACTGAGGAAATTGACAGATTTCCCCTCTTTTCAAGATAAAAAAACAGACATCTTTCTCATAGTTACTTTGATAAAAGTTTAAAGGCACCGTTGTAAATCCTGGCATGTAACTCTAAAAATTAAGCATCACTCAAAATAATTCGCTTAAGGAACATCTCGAAAAATTTCTTGTTGAATAACGTTAAGACACTAACAGGCTCTTTTAAATAGAAATAAATTTAAAATATAGAAAACAAATTAGAATTTACCTCTGTGTTCTCCATTCTGGGATTACTCTCTGCAGTTCTTACATCGGATAATTCTATCTTAGAAACTGCTTCGGTCTCCTTGGTTGTATCTGTATCCTTGACGTTAACTGTATCTGTATCCTTGACGTTAACTGTATCTGTATCCTTGACTTTAACTGTATCTGTGACCCTGACTGTATCTGTATCGATGTGTGTATCCAGGTTTAGATGGACTGTATTGTATACTACTGTAGGCTGCTGCAGCAGACAGCTTGGCTTATCAAACATTCCTAACAAATCTAGAATTTAATTCATATTGTTTTTACAAGATAACAATATAAACTATTTTATCATCTATTTTCAATCTAGCAATATGAATTAAGATCCGAATTTATGCTTTGATTTAACCAATTCTCAACCTAATGCATTTTTTATAAAAAGATTTTAAGTGACTAAAAAAAGTTGCCTTTTGATAAAAATGTTTTGATTTTTGCATTGCGTGAATATTAAAATATCAGTTTTGACGAAATTTGACACGTAAATCAGATTTAACAGAAGCATTTTCAGCACTTGCCATAAAACTACCTTATGCAAGATAGACATTCATTTTTTTTTTTATTTAATGATGTACTTTAATCAAACTCGGTATATGAAGCAAATCAACTATTCCTAGAAACAAAATAAAAATATTCAATCTAAAAAAAAAAAAAAAATTCCTCTCCTTTAAATTAAAAAAAAAAAGTTACCGTCGGAGCTTTCCGAACCTTCTTTTCTTGGTTTGACAATAGCTGTAGGTTTTCCAGCTAGCGGTGATTCAAACAGATGACGCTTAACAGCTTCCATCTCATGTTGGATCCCACCCAACGGGTTCTTAAGGGGTGGCAGAGGAGACATAGATGGGAGTTTAGGGGCGTCTACGGGGGTGTCTGACAAAGGGGCGATGTGATGCAATTTTATAGCTGGGCTTTCTCCTTGGAGAGCAGATTCTTGTTTGTTTACTGCTTCAAGGACATTAAGGGGAGCTTTAGTGATGTCATTAGATTCCTCAGAATCAGCTGGGGCCATCGATTCAGTTGCTTCTTCCCCAGTGTTGGATTCAGCTACTGTCATTGATTCAGCTACCACAACATCAGTACTAGCTTCAGTGGCTGCGATTGGTTCAGTTACTTCAACTTCAGTATTAGGTACAGTTTCTCCCAGCGGTTCAGTTGCTTCTGCCTCATTGTTGAATTCAGTTGCGTTCATTGGATCTGTTACTTTTAACCCAGTATAAGATTCTGCTGCAGACATTGGTTCAGTTACCTCTGATTCAATGTCTAATTCATCTGGTGCCATTGATTCAGTTGCATCTGCTTTAATATATAATTCAGCTAGTGCCATTGGTTCAGCAGCTTCAATTTTAGGATTACATTCAGCTGGTTCCATAATTTTAGTTGCTTCTGCCGCAGTATCAAATTCTGCTGCAATTAATTCACTAGCTTCTACTTCAGCAGTAGAGATCTCAGTTTTATCAGCTTCAATATTAGAATCGGGTGCTGCTTTTGGTACAGTTGCTTCAGGCTCAATATCTCTTTCAGCTACTGCATTTGATTCAGCTAATTCCGCTTCAATACTAGATTCAGCTACTGCCATTGATTCAGCTACCGCCATCGATTCAGCATTAGACTTGACTGCTGCCGTTTGTTCAGGAACGTCGGCATTAGATTTGAATTCTTCAATTGATTCAGTAACTTCAGCATTAGATTCGACAGCTGCTATTGGTTCTGCTCCGTCAGATTTTGTATTTTCAGCTACTGGCACGGATTTATTTACTTCTGCATCACAATTAGATTCTTTTGCTTCCATTGGTTCACAAGGATTACATTCAGCCGGATCAGTTACCTCTACTTCAGAATTGGACTCAACTACTACATTTTGTTCTGTTGTATCTGCAGTAATTGGTTCAGTCATTTCGGACGCAATATTGTATTCAGCATCTACTTTTGGGTCAGTTTCTTTTGGTTTAATACTTAATTCGGCTCCTACCATTGGTTCAGATACGTCAACTGCAGTATTGGATTCAACATCTGCTACAAGTTCAGTTGCAACTTCTACTGCTTCTAATGGTTCGGTTGCTTCTATCTCAATATTAGATTCAGCAACTGCCATTGATTCAGTTACTTCCTGATCAGTAACAGATTCAGATAAAGCCAGTTCAGTTGCCTCTGAATTAACAACTGATTCACCAGCTGCCATTGGTTCGGTAACTTCTGCTGAAGTATTGGATTCAGTTGCAGTCATTGTTTCAGTGACATCTTTGTCAGCATTAAATACAGCTTCAGTTTTTTGTTCAGTTACTTTTGCTGCAATATTGGATTCAGTTTCAGTTTCTGTCATTGGATCATCTATTTCTACGACAAAATTAGATTCACCTAATGCCATTGGTTCAATTACTTCTACAGCAGTATGAGATTCAGCAACAGCCATTGGTTCAGTTAGTTCTGCTTTAATGCTAGATTCGTCTGCTGGTTCAATTCTATTAGTTTCTTCTGCATCAGTGCTAGATTCAACAACGTTCATTGGCTCAACTCCTTCTACTTTTGTATCCAATTCAGATTCTGAAAATTGTTCAATGGGCTTGACTGAACTCTGAAATTCATTAACACCATTAACTTCTCCTGGTTCTGAGGCATTAGTATTTACTTCAATGGATTCATGGGCTTCTTCAATGCTCGCTTCTTGTGCAACACACATGTTATCCTCAATAGTAGCTTCTACAGTATTATCTAAATCATTATTGATCTTTTGTTGTTTTTCGTTTTTAAGAAAAAGGACGAGTTCTTCCTCTCTAGGTGGTTCAGGAAGCTCTGCAGGTTCAAGATCTGGTATACTCTCTAAGTCTGGAGGAGGATCAGGGAGCTCAGGGGTCTCAGATTTATCCTCAGCAATGTCAAATATCTCAGCTCCTTTTAAATCTATGTCAGGATCGTTTTCTGAAACAAAAATTAACAGTAAAATTCTCAATCAGTTTTTCTCTACTCAGAGACCGAAAATTATAATGAGTAGGAAGTAGTTGAACTAGTTCAACCATCCGTACTACCTAGTTAACTACATCTCATATTCATTGATTCCGACTTCTGAACATTAAAATCAGAAATAGTATACACAATTCTTTGTAATAAAGTTTTCAATAGTCCTGAATAGTCTTTGCGTGGAAGTTAATTATAGACTCAGTATGGAATTGAAACTCAAAATAAAACAGCAAAATATTACTGTCATTTAAAAAACAGTTATCCAGACAAGGAACTAAAAGTTTCACGAAAAATGTCCAATGTATAATAAGTCTGAAAAAAACCAGAAACAAACAAACGACAAGGTTATTTTCATTTTAATCAACTTATGGTTGGTTATACAAATAGCATAAATGACACAAAAAAAAACCAAAATCGCCAAAAACAAAAATGACAATGGCAAAAATTACTGATCACAAACTGACCTTTAGCAAAAATGAAAATAAGGAAAAATTACATGTAAAGCTAAAATTCCATATTAAAAACTGAGATTTAGCAAAAGTGACAATTAAAATGTACAATCTAACAACTAGCAAGAATGGAAAATAGCCAAAATACATGATTCACAACCCGCACAACCCGGATAAAAGCTAACTGACACTTACCTTCTTCACTATGAGTTGAGTCTGAGTTTAATCTTATATTTCCAAACATATCAGTAAGAGAACCAAGGGTCTCCCTCCTACAACATTAAAGGCATAAATTTTGGGAAAAATTTTAAAATTTGACATTTTTAATACTTAACAAAAAAATAATTTCTTCAACTTAACGAAAAAATGATTTTTTTGAGTAGTAGTTTTGTCTAACTCCTTGGAACAAAGGTTAAAGATTGTCTACCTATTTTAGTCTTGTCTTTCCTTTCGAACAAAGGATTTAAAGGTTGTCTACCTAATGTAGTCTTGTCTAACTTCTTGGAACAAAGGTTTTAAAGATTGTCAACCTATTGTAGTCTTGTCTAATTCCTTGGAACAAAGGATTAAAGGTTGTCTACCTCTTGTAGTCTTGTTTAATCCCTTATAACAAAGGTGTCAAGGTTGTCTACCTAGTCTAGTCTTGTCTAACTCCTTGGACCAAAGAATTAAAGATTGTCTACCTTTTGTCGACTTGTTTTATTCCTTGGAACAAAGGTTTAAGGTTGTCAACCTATTGTAGTTCTGTCTAGGTCCTTGGAACAAAGGTTTAAATGTTGTCTACCTATCGTAGTCTTTCTTAATTCCTAAAACCAAAGGTTTAAAGGTTTAAAGGTTGTCTACCATATGTAGTCATGTCTAACTCCTTGGAACAAAGGTTTAAAGATTGTCTACCTATTGTAGTCTTGTCTAACTCCTTGGAACAAAGGTTTAAATGTTGTCTACCTATTGTAGTCTTGTCTAACTCCTTGGAACAAAGGTTTAAAGATTGTCTACCTATTGTAGTCTTGTCTAACTCCTTGGAACAAAGGTTTAAATGTTGTCTATCTATTGTAGTCTTGTTCAACTCCTTAGAACAAAGGTTTAAAGGTTGTCCACTTATTAAAGTCTTGTCTAATCCCTTAGAACAAAGGTTTAAAGATTGTCTACCTAGTGTAGTGTTGTTTAATTCATTGGAACAAAGGTTTAAAGGTTGTCTACTAATTGTAGTCTTGTCCAACCCCTTGGAAAAAAGGTTTAAAGATTGTCTACCTTTATAGTCTTTTTTAATCCATTAGAACAAAGGTTTAAAGGTTGTCTATTGAAGTCTTTTTTATTTAAAATGGGTGCCGGTGATGGAACAAACCTCTGTAGAGTAAAAAAGTAGATGTTAGTTCCACATTTATTGAAAATATATTTTAGTCTGGGTTGACAATGACCCTCGTCAGTTTTTGAAATTGTTTCTGTCAAGAAGATTAAAAACACAGTTTTTTCTAGACTCTTGTAACAAAGTTTAAAAGGTTGTTTACCTTTTGTAGTCTTGTCTAACTCCTTGGTACAAAGGTTTAAAGATTGTCTACTTTTTGTAGTCTTGTCTAACTCCTTGGAACAAAGGTTTAAAGGTTGTCTACCTTTTTTAGTCTTGTCTAACTCCTTAGAACAAAGGTTTAAAGATTGTCTACCTTTTGTAGTCTTGTATAACTCCATGGAACAAAGGTTTAAAGATTGTCTACCTTTTGCAGTCTTGTTTAATCCCTTAGAACAAAGGTTTAAAGATTTTCTACCATTTGTAGTCTTGTTTAATCCCTTAGAACAAAGGTTTTAAGGTTGTCTATTGAAGTCTTGTCCAACTCCTTGAAACAAAGGTGGTTGTCAACCTATTTTAGTCTAGTCTAACTCCTTAGAACAAAGGATTAAAGGTTGTCAACCTATTGTAGTCTTGTCCAATCCCTTGGAACAAAGGCTTTAAGGTTGTCTACCTAGTGTAGTCTTGTCCAACCCCTTGGAACAAAGGTTTAAAGATTGTCTACCTATTGTAGTCGTGTCTAAACCCTTAGAACAAAGGTTTTAAAGGTTGTCTAATGTCTACCTAGTGGCATCTTATCTAATTTTTTAAAAACAAAGGTTTAAAGGTTGTCTACCTATTGTAGTCTCGTTTAACCCCTTGAGACAAAGGCTTTAATGGTGTTATCGAGTCTGATTCCTCCGAGTCCAGCTTAATCCTGTATCCCAGTTTACCAGACCTGAACATAGGGAAATAATCAAAAAAATTTGGAGTAGAAAAACTCTTCAAAAAAAATAGACTACAAACTTAAAATCTGTTTAACCCAAAACAGAAATAAAACTCCAAAAAAAAATAAATGAGGTATGAAAGCCAAAAATAAAACACCACTGCTGTAACTTTAAATTTTAGTATATTGTTTCTACACAAATAAGCATGAAAAAGAATACAACTCGAATTTCAATTTTGACAGACTTTCTTATTTCAATTAAATCCCCAACAAAATTGTAAACTTTCCTAAAAATTAATTAAATAAATTAACTAAATAGATCTAATAAATCCTAATGGCCCCCCCCCCCCC